CCCCCTCCCTTGTTTTATTGTAAGCCGCCCGGAGTCCTTCGGGAGTGGGCGGCATACAAATCAATAAAACTCAAACTCAAACTCTAACATATCAAGAATAGCATGTCAAATAAAATCAAGACAACAAGCATACGTCTTCTTGTAGTTCAGATTAACTGAGTAACCAGTAATCCCAGCTGTATCTTTCTACTAGGAATGGAGAAACACAAGTCCACCCCAAGTCATGTGAGCTCAATGGTAACTTTGGGCTTCTCAAAAAATTCCCCTCTTTCTAGACTGTTGCCTTTACTACTATACCAAACTGGCTGTTGAATCAGATTGAAGAAATGGATATAGCATGCTGGGCAGCCACCCAGAGTCCCTAGGGAGTGGGCGGCATACGAATCTTATTAAAGTTGCAAAGTTGCAAAGGTTTGGGGACAGAAGATGGGTATTGGAAAAGAGGGTAACAGCAGAGTCTGAAAGTCAGAATGAGCAGAGGTAAGGTTTTCTGTAAATCAGCGCTTAAGGAACTACCAGTTTTTCTTTCTTTTCCTTTCCGTTTTAACTGCTGCCTGTTTGAGGAATGAGGAAGGGACAGGTTATATCCAGCAAATTGCTCAATAGGGATTTTCTGGCAAAAGTGGGTGAAGACAATGTAGTACCAAAATAATGCCTTTTAACCCTATTCATATCCTGTCAGAAAGGAAATAAAACCACCAGAAGATATGACTATGTTAAGTAGTTGTTACTTCTCTAGAAAAATACGAAACCTACATATATGTACACCTATGGATACACATATAAACATACATAGATGCACATTTACCCGGAATACCATGTCATTCTAAGAATTTGCTAGAGAAAATAAAGTTAAATATTTGTAAAACATTCAACTAAATTCAAATTCAGGTTATAGTATTTCTATCAAATACCGTTGGCTTTTTTTAATTAAAAAAACAAGAAAATCTTTATTTAACATGTACTACATTGATATAAAAATAACCATGAAGATGACAATGACAGCCTAAATACATTAGGGAGACATACCGTATTTTTCAGAGTATAAGACGCACCTTTTCCCCCTAAAAGAGAGTGAAAACTTGGGTGTGTCTTATACAATGAATGTAGCCCCACCCACCAGCCCCAAGCCTTTGGCCTCTGCCTCCCAGAAATTTACCTCCTTACAGCAAAGGGGGGGGGGNGTAAAAATTCCTCACCAGCTGTAAACACTTTCTCTTTCCGTTTCCTTCCGTTCAGAGCCGTCCCAACTTCATCAGCCTAGGGGCTGTGCTTTTATCGCCAGCTAGAAGAACTTCTCCTGGGTCGATCAGGGAGTTTACGGTGTCCCTGAGATCAGCAGGATGTATTCTTCCTGTTCGCCATTTCTGCGGGATGGTTTAGGTCCGATTGGACCACCCAGTGATAAAAGTTTCGGCAGTGATCTCAGAGCATTGAGATCGCACGTCCATCTCGTAGCGATGTTGGCTCCTCCAACTGATGGTAAAGATGGATAAAATCCATCTTCACCACCAGTTGGTTAGCAAAAATCAGATTTATTAAATCACTACATCTAATCCTCTAAGACAAATCTGCAATTTCATCTTTGCAATACACAAGAACATTTTTAAAAAATTAATCTCAGCAAGGTCTTATATATTTTAACATTTGTTAAAACCTGTTGGCCTTTCACAAGGCCCTGAAGAAATGGCTGGGTTCCCAGACTTGGAATTATATTAATTTTATTGAAATATTTGTACTATATGTCTACTTATAATTGATTTTGTTATTGTTGTTTTTATTTTGGCTGCCAATTATCAATTTATTTTTGTGGGGGGTTGACTGTATTTCTATCCACCCAAAGTTACTTGAGATTAAAACAAATAAATAAGATCTTCAAATGGCCTTCAGGCAAGAATTTAGTAATTATTCTAAAGGTTGTAATTTATGGAAAAGAGGATGATAATGCAATACTGTGTTTTCCCGAAAATAAGACAGGGTCTTATTTTCTTTTAACTCCCTCCCCCCAAAAAAACACAGCCTTATTTTTGGGGAGGTCTTATTATTTTTGAGGTGCAGGGGGCGGCGAGCGTGGTCACCTCATGGCTGCTGCTGTGTCCCAATATTTTCAGGCAACCATCAAATTTCAATTTCAGATTTAACTGTATTAAGATATACTGCATGAACTCACACTAATAGCCTATTTAAGGTGACTCTTTATAACATCACCTCCCGATCACCTCCCATAGACCACACAGGTTAGGTCTCCTCCGGATTCCATCTGCCAGTCAATGTCAGCTGGCGACTCCCCGGGGGAGAGCCTTCTCTGTTGCAGCTCCAGNTAATGTTACTCAAACATATTCCAACAATGTCCTAAATAAAAAAATGTAAAAGGTACTATTTTTATTTGATGAAAGAAAGAGGAATCACATCTCCTATTTTTTTAAAAGTACTGCTCATAAGCTTTAAATTCTGTATACACAACTTCAAAAGACAACCTCTCTAGATGCTTACTGCAAATGGCCATTCATAAATAAAGCACTTCAAAAGTTGTCAATTGTAAATATAATTTCTTCTCCTGAACCACAAAATCTATTTGCTTCAAAATACAGCAATTAATAATTGATAGACTTCATAAATGAAGACATGATCCATTAAGTCCACTCGTGAGGTTGGTATTTAATTATTTACTTATTTGTTTAATTTCCATCTTGCCATGGGACTTTTCTGGATGCAACAAAATGGGGGGGGGGGAATTAAAAATGTAAACAACAATAGCAAAGGAATAAAACGGTAAATAATGGAAGTACAATAATATGAAATTAAAAAGATGAGCAGGGGAGAACAAGAAGTGCAGGGGAGAGGTGGGATCAGGTCTTCAGGACCTTGAGGAAAAATAGGAGGATGAGAGCAAACCTCATCCCGGAGGGCAGAATGTTCCAGAAGGCTACAGCAGAGATCCCATTCTCCTGGATCCCATCAGTTGGAGTTCCTTGACCAATGGGCTTGTCTTAGAAGGGCAAAATGGTTCATCAAGTAACCTGGATCTATCCTATGTAGAGTTTTGAAGATCATAACCAATATCTTTGCACCCGGAAGCAAACTGGCAGCTCGCAAAACAGTGGTGTAACTTGGGTCACTCCTTGGGCCACAAAGACTAATTGTGCTGCCGTACTTTGTACCATTTGAAGCTGCTGAATGCATTTCAAGGGAAGTCCCACATAAATGTAAGGTGTATGCTAATATTGCATTAAACATTTTCTGAATCAGCATTAATGGAAACAATTCAAAGCAAATACAGCGTATAAATTTCTGTTGAAAAATGTATTTATGGAGGAATTATAATAATGGAGGCATTGCAACTTTGATTTAAACCCAGGTGTGTTTCAAAATAACATATTAGTCTACATTCTTATATGATCTATAGACCATCGCTATTAATGTGGTACCATATTTAATATTTACTGATGTGCATATCGAAGCATTTGTATCACGAGTTGTATTTTTTCTCTCTCTAGTACTCAGACATTTTGTTTTTGTTATATGCTTTAATAGGGAATATGTTGAATGGGAATTGATGTTACTAATAATCTACTATGCAGTAATAGTTTTAGTATTTGATTTTCACCCTTTCCCTCACTGCATTTTCAATATTGCTTTTGGTTCCACATCATCAGCAAAGGATCAACGTCTTTTATTGCACAAGGGCCTCCAGATAATTGTAGGATGTCCTTTATTGCCCTTGCTATTCATCATCTAGAAACTAGTATCCTGAAAATCTCTCTATATATTTTTTCAGAATAAGGAGGTTTAATGTATGAAACACTAGTTGGTAGTGCAGAATCAGACTAATTTCATTTGAAACATAAAGTAGTAAATGTTATATTCTGTACTGCACTATATTTCAGTTCCTAAACACAATCAGGAGGGAATTATATTTTTAATTTCTTTTTCATGTGGACTGACCTCCTTTAAGTTAAAAAAAAAAACAGACAATCACCAGGGCATAACAGCAAATACAGCTAATTTAAAAAGACAAAATATAGCCATTTATGAGAAAAGCATGATTCAGTTGCAAAGCTGGAAATTCATGGGATAATAACTTATGGCAATTAGGGATAATAAATTTAATCTGTATCTTAAAACAGAGGGGGGGGGGAAACAATACTGAGATTACTGTTGATATCAGCATGAATGACCATATGAATATCAGCATACAATTGTAGCCAGACACAAGAAGACAAAAATATAACTGTAGAAAATCAAATAGAAAGCTGAAATTTCTGAGATTTGACTATGAACGGAGAGGGCGGTGGGGGGGGGGGAACTAAACATTGTTGCAAAGTTCAACAGTAACATAGTGGAGTCAATCACAAACTGAACATAGGAAACAAAAAAGGCAAATGAATCCAAGGCTTTGCAACTGATAAAAACAATAAATTGTTTAAAGTGTTCCTAGGGATTCTTTCATGGGGAAAACAGATGCAGGCAGACAGGGGCATATTTGGAGAAGAACTTTAGAAGAGAGATTAGAAGCAGTATTGAACATATTGATTGAAATGGTGATAACATATCCAAGTAGTAATCTGAAATATATAATTAGAGCTTATACAATTGTCCAGTTAGAAATTATCAGGAATAGAGCAGAGTTTCAAACTCACATAAAATACTGAAAGACAGTGCCCACAAAATTCCAAGTGAGAACAGTAAATACATATATTTGGGGACCCAAGGAGAGAGAAAAAACAAAGTAAAGGCACTATTAGTACTAAAACTGACAAATGGGAATATGGAACCAGTCAAATCATATAAAGGCCTAAAGGGCTTCAAGTAGTAAAGTTTGGTCGACTGTATCTAAGCAGAATGAAAATAGGAAATAAACAATTTATCTGGCAGATAGTGCTCTTGATTATGCTTGTGGGAATTTGAGCAAAGTTCAGAACTATAACAGGAAAAAAAAGGCAGCAGAATAAACAGTGGAAGACAAGGTGAAAGAGGAAATTTAATCAAGAAGTTTAACCAAAACAAGTGAATTAGAAATATGTTTAAATATTTGTGACTTTGTTAATCAACTCTTTGGAGGAAAAGTACAAAATTAAATAAATAGGTGAGTAGTGTTTAAAGTGTCTACCATCAAAAATTCTTTAAAATCTAAAAATAATTCTCACCTTCTTTTTATTAGAAGAGGAAACATTTGTTTTTATCTGAGTGAAGGTTCTCAGCAGAAATTTAGAATCATCTGGAGACTGTGTAATTTTTTCTGTTTTGTATATTCCAAAATGATGTTTTTTACAGGGCTGTAAAGCAATACATTTTGTTAAGAAGACGCTTAATGAATTTAGTTATATAAATATGAATTCACTGATTAATATTCTTTTAAGAACATTAAATAAAAGCTAACATTTGCATGATATCAAATACATTTTAAAAATATTTATTTATTGAATATATACTACTACCCTTCATGTTCTGTATACTTACAATAAAACAAGGATAATAAACAGCTAAAAAACCTGGAAAAGTTGTATAGAATTCATTCTAGCTATCACTGAAGAATTATCTAGTATCAGCCAAAAATTAGAAAGTTCTACATTTTAAAAAGCTTTTTCTACCCCATCTACTGTCTAATCTTGAGAAAGGTCACTGTCAAAGATTTAATTAACGAGTCGGTTGGAGTAAGATTTTTGGAAAAAACTAATTGTCATTTGTATATCTAATCACAGCAGAGACATCTCATTAAAAAAGATATCTGATACAATGCAAATGACCGTAGAGAAGAAACAAGATATAAATGGAGTAAATAAACTGTACAGTAAATACAGCCTTTGAGAGATGGAAAGATGGCTCCAAATGTTTGATAAGAAATGTTTACATCCATTTACTGTTCAGTTATCCTTTGGGTCAAATAATAACAATAGCACTTAGACTTATATACCACTTCACAGGGCTTTACAGCCCTCTCTAAGTGGTTTACAAATCAGCCTATTGCCCCCAACAAGCTGGGTCCTCATTTTACCGACCTCAGAAGGATGGAAATCAACCTTGATGTTAATGATCACATAATAAATGTTTACCTAAAAATTGTTATTCAGCATGGCTGCCTGATTTGATCATGTAACTTTCATTTCCACTTAAATATCATTCCAATCATGTTAAATTGGTTAGAGCATTCATTTTATGAATTGCTGGGATTCCCTCTTACCTCCAAGTCTAGATCCTGAGGTTCTGCTTCAGAAAGTGGTATTGCAATAATTTTTGTAATTTTACATACATCATGATCTCCTGGAAGCTTGCCAACAACTACTTTTTGGCGAATTAGAAGCAGCCACCAAGGCAAATCTGTAAGAAATACAAATCTATTAGTTTGGAAAGGAAATTTTAATTATAATTTTTACCAGGTGAATAGCAACCTTTAAATGTATATATTCTCTCCATCAGGCTGACAAAATTACAGTCTAACACTTAAGTGGAAAAGCCTCTTCTCAATATGGAATTAGGGTTACAGAACCCCAGGGCTGGAAAAACTGGGGGGAAAAAATATTATTTTTCTTCCACTAGAACAAACCATCATCTGTCCCTTCCCAAGACAGAGAGGATTTTTGGTATTTTTCTAATAATGAACATGGTGCTTAAAATAAAAAATACATTTTTACAGTTTAAATTTTTCAGTTTTAATTTAAGTTCATCCTAATTATTCTTCCTGTGCCCTGCCACTTGCCTAACCATGCTAACACGGCATCAGAGGTGGGTTCCTACCAGTTCGCACCTATTCGGTAGAACCAGTTCGTCAAATCTACCAAACCGGTTAGAAGAGGTTCCACCAGTGGACCCGGAAAGCAGGCCACACCTACAGAAGAGGTTCCAAAAATTTTTGAAACCCACCACTGACTTGNTTTCATTAACCCTTCGGAACCTGACAGTTTGTCAGAGCTCATACCATGGCTGATGGTACAGTGCTTGGGTTGGAGGCTGTAGGCTTGGAGGAGTCTGCCGTAGCAACTGATACAACTGTGCTGGAAGCTGTGTCACCAAAACAAGTTAGATGGCCCTTGTATTTTTGGTAATTCAACTTCCAATTAAAATATATACCAAGGGACAAGAACTTTTTAGCTGATGCCCTCTCCCGCAAACCACAGTATCATAATAAAAGGAAGGATCTAGTAGAGGCTATCATCCCGACCTCACAGCCTAGGATGTTAGCCACTCAACAGTTCCCATCGGCACCAAACCTGTATGCTCAGGGAGAGGACCTCTGCAGAGCAATCAAAGCAGCACTCCCAAAGGACCAGTGTTTTCAAGAAAACTTTATTAACACAGCGAGAGGGCTTTGCCTGGAAGGGGTCGAAGTTATATATATCAAGTGTGGCACGGGTGGCCGTGCTGCAGCGCTGCCACGACGTTCACTCGGCTGGATATTTTGGGTTCCTCAAGATTCTGCATTTAATAAATCGCCAGTTCTGGTGGCCCCACAAGAGGGACATAGAGGAATATATAAGGGGTTGTGTTGTTTGCACTACCATGAAGGCCCGGCCTGGACAGCCTCCTGGACTTTTACAGAAGGTGGCAGATCCAATTTGGCCATGGGAATAGATAGCCATGGATTTCATCGTGGATTTACCAGACAGCCAAGGGAACAAGGTCATTGGGACAATAATAGACCTGTTCTCCAAGCAGGCTCATTTTTAGCATGTACTGGCCTTCCATCTGCTAGGAAGCTGGCCAAACTGTTTATTGCCCATGTCTATAAACTCCATGGCATCCCCAAAAGGATAATTTTAGACAGGGGAGTGCAATTCACTGCCCGGTTCTGGTGTAGATTCGTGGCAATGGTGAGGTCTTCACAGGGACTTAATACAGCCTTCCACTCCGCGACCAATGGTGCTGCGGAGAGAGCAAACGTGATGGTGGAGCACTACTTAAGATATTACGTCCAGTACCAACGGACCAATTGGGCTGAACTCCTTCCCTTTGCAGAGGTTGCATATAACAATGCAGTGCACAAAAGTTTGGGATTTACCCCATTACATGTGGCTACAGGGCAGGAGTTTGTCCCAATTCCGGAGTGTCCTTAGATGCGCCCAGATTACACAACCTCACAGGAGTGGATAGCCTGGATGCAAAAGGTTTGGAAAGTGGTGAGGGATGCGTTATGTCACTCTTTTGCCACATATAAAAAGAGTGCCGATAAAAGGCGGAAGGTGCAAGGACCTTTCCACATAGGCCAGAGGGTATACCTCTCCATTAAATATCTCAGGCTGCCGTTGCCATGTAAGAAACTCGGGCCCAAATTCATTGGGCCTTTCCCAAGTTATTAACTCAGTCACAATGCAGCTAAGACTCCCGCTTCTACTGGGGAAACACATCCAGTCTTCCACTGCAGCCTGCTCCGATCAATTCAGGCCTCTGATATCGAGGAGACTCGCTATGGCCACCAGCCCTAGTTACTGTAGATGGGGAATAGCACTATATAGTGCAAGATATACTAGATTCCAGGTGGTTACAATACCTTATTTTATGGCAAGGTTATCCCGTCTGAGGCATTTTGGGTTCATAGCAAGGACTTTAGGGCACCCCACCTGATAGCGAGATTCCACCGCAGACATCCCACAAAACTGAGGGGAAGGGGTCCTTCGACTCCTAACTGACTGTAATTTTTAGCTCCCCAGATGCTGTCTCCGTGGTAGGGGGCCGCATGTCAGCTCTAGCCAGCTCAGAGGCCTAGAGCTGCCATTCAGAGGAGAAGACTGGGCCAGCTGCCAAGACTCACCGTCCCACCTAAACAAGCTGAAGAAACTCCTGCTACGAATCCATGATTAATTCCCGGGTGGTTTCACTCTGGGTCACAAGGTGATGGGTGTGCGCACGCACGGGGTGCAGCTTATCTTAATTATCAATGTAGTTATAAAAAGTGGTGGGAAGTACAGGGTGGCAGCTCTGACAATTTATTCATTGCCTTCGTGCTTTGTTGGTCAGTTCGTGCCGAAGGAAGAATACAAACTACATTTACAAACCGTTTCTGTGTTTGGCTGTTTCATTAACCCTTCGGAACCTGACAATTAGATGGAAAACACCAAGTAACTGCTTAGTGGGAATTATGAATGTTTATAAAGGATTACAGGGTCATAAATAGGAGCTATTTGGAAGTTTATCTTCCTCTAAAAGAAACTTAGATGAAAAACTTAGATGATTAATAATGAGTCTTCAATATCCCTTTTCCAACCAAGGTTGTACAACAAATGATGACAACAGAGAGACAGAATGAAACTAAATACTTTTCAACAGATTATCTTTCAAGGAGAGTAAAGACACTCTTGTTGCTTTTGTTCCACCCAACAGTCACATTTGATACCATATAAACTGTTATTTTACAAAAGGATTTTGCTAGTACAGGTTAGCTAGAACCGAGTCACTTAAAACATGCTGCATATAGTTTTATGAATTATATTTTAGATGGACTGTAGAAATATTTTTGTTCTGCACAATTTTACCCAAAGTAATTTTAAAGTGTTATCAACTTTGTTTTTTTAATCTACTTTTTCCAGCTTGAATTGAATGATGTTTTTTAGTTTGCTTTAAAATACTTAGTTGCAGGCCACCTTTGTAGTGTTATCTAGATCAAAAGGCAATTAAGAAATACTTTTCCAGCAGCAGATAAATCAATCTGAATGGGGTGAATATCTGCCAGTGTGTTCAAGCTTCATTATTTATCTGCTAGGAAAGCTCTTTCAAGAAACTCATGACATGCTTATTGCCAATCTAGGTATCATAACTTGTTGAAAGGTGACAAACCCAAGAAAAAAATATACTCTTTTCACATTTTTTTAAATTTAAAAAATTCTTACAAAAATATATAGTGTTTCATGATTGATATGTGATTGTTAGATTCTTTATTTCTATGGCTTATATATCTGGAAGATATTCCCAACGCTTTTCTTCATTGCTTTATGTGTATCCCCATCTTAAGACACTATACAATTTCTCTACTTTATGCTTTATTGTAATATTTTCTTTTTTGCTCAGGCTTTGGCCTATATAATTCACTAGACAACCTGTGTTCCACTGAGTCATTGTTTCAAAGGTATTTCCTTACTTAAACAGGAAAAAAAATGAACATGGGCGGGCAAAAAATCAGTGGGAGCAAAAGTAACTTCCCACTTCCTGCCAGCTTTCCCATTGAGTTTCCTTGTGGGGAAGCTAGCAGGGAGCATCAGAAATCACATATCTGAGAAAGCTGGAATCATGGAGGAATGTATGATATTACAGATGGAAAAGTCATTTTAAGTCAGTAACAATTCCACTTGTTACTTAAATAGAATCTCTATTAGAAACCTAAATTTTCATGTCACACAAAATTAGGATAAATTACATGAAACATTAATGAGCTCTTTAGACTAATGGTATCAGGAAAAGAGCATTATCTGATTAATTCAAGGAACCATAAGTATATGGAATATTACTTACTCCAAGGTTTATCAGATCTTCAATCATGTGCTTATTCCAAAAGAATCTATCATCAACCTGAAACACATAAAAATAAACCTTTTGTATACAAATATTACAGAAAAGTGTGAAATCTTGAAGACTACAGAACAATTTATATCAGTGGTTCCCAAACTTTTTCAGTCCACTGCCCCGTTGGTGCTACAAACTGATACTCAGTGCTCCCCACCCAGTGGTGGAATTCAATTTTTTTTTACTACCGGTTCTGTGGGCGTGGCTGGGGGGTCATGTGACTGGGCGGTTTGCATGACGGAAGGAAGATAGTAACAGTAAAACTCGAAACTGTAACAATTAATTGCACATTTATTCAAAGTCCAATTTAAAAAACTTTTTAGTTAATGTTAATTCAACAAAACTGTTGACCATGATCCAGTGATACCAGGTTTTCAAAGTCTGATAGTCATTTATCAAGAACCTTAGT